GTACTTTTTGGTTGGATTTAATTATTAGCCATTGGTTAATGACATCGTTAATTATTGCAATGGGGTCTTTTTTAAAATCAAATTTTTAAATTTCAGATAATTTCATTGTTTATAATAATAACAGACTATACAAAATCAAGATTGAAAAAAAATTAAATATAAAACTGGTTGAGTACAGGCCAACCGTTGGTCGAATATGGTTCAGACATTAAAAACTGGTTAAGTACAGACAGAGAATGGGGTTAAGACTATAACAGACTGGCAGATTATTAGTTCAGACTTAGTTAGTATGGTCCAGATAATTAAGGGTCCAGTATAAATAAGTTAAGTTGAGTCCTGCTAGTATAAGGGGACCAAGAACAAATTATGATTACACAAAAACCATTGGTCTACAATTACTGCATCATTTATTTGAACAAAATTGTCAATTAAATATCTGTCATATAAGGTATTTTGAATCCCATGAACATTTGATCCCCCCCTGAAACAAGAAAATTCTGCCTTTTACTTCGATCGTATACAGTAATCACTCACTTATGGCGTTTTACATGGTGATTATGACGTCAATAAGTATATATGCCAAGCTATAAAGCCGCATCATCCCCATTGAAAGCATGGCCCGGCTATATATATACTACCACAGTGTTCTTTAATTTCATATACTTTATACTTTATACAAATTGTGATTACCAGTCCAGAAATTTTTATTCTACTGGTACATCCAGTGGTATAGTTGAACATATGAATCCATAGATTCAATGTTATTACACGTTGCTATGCATTCTATCAGGTTCCAGTTTTACTCGGAGGTATAAAATAAATGCTTCAACCCTGTACTCAATACCTGCTTTATTGATCCTTTTTAATTAAAAACATTTCTATAAATCTTTGATTCTCAAAAATTCAAAACTATGATCATGATATTTCACTTTGCCATTATTGATTTTGTTGATACTTATAAAACTTATTTTCAATTTAGTATGTGTAACTTGGATACAAAAAATATAACTAACATAAAATTTCAAATCCTATTTAATATTTGTTTGATTCAATTTCCAAATTTCCTTTAGGTGACTTTAAATTTGCATTTTCTTTACTTATATCATAGATATTTGACACAGTTTAAAAAAAATTAAATCTTTCCCAGATGATTTATCAAGGCAGCCACCTAATCCACTCTCTTTGTTATAGTAGTAGTAGTAGCAGCTAGAACTAATATTCATTTCGCTATTGCCCATGTTTATTTTCCCCTTATTTAAAGAGGGTATAGGGATGCCCTTTACCGTCAGGCGTCAAACGGTCATATTCGGCTACCGTTAACATCAAATTGGTTAAAATTTTATCGTGATTCATCAGAGGTCTCAAATAATTTATCGTTACCATTTTTTTTGGAAAGAATTTAACATGATTAGTCAATATCAGTATATTGCTTTATCGTCATAAAGAAAGTGTACAGTACATTTTATCATCATGCACTTAAAACTATCGTTAACGTCATTTGGCTAGATTTTTTATCGTTATTCGTCACGAAGGTACCCCCATTACGACCCTCTTTAAACTGATTCACTGAAAATATTTTTAAGTTATTGTCATGGTTATTTTACTTTTATTTAAATGAAAGGGATCCCATGTATATTTCCCGTAATATACTTGTATTGTTTGAGCTTGTGATTTTTGCCATTTGATATATATTAAGGGACTTTCCGTTTTGAATTTTCCTTGGAGTGCAGTATTTTTTTGTTATTTTACTTTTCAAATTTTGTGGATCACAGTACATCTATGCATAAAAGAACAAATGTTTCTTGTTCATGTTGAATACATAGTGGCAGTATTTCTTGCATACTCAGGACGAAAACAAAATACGTCAATTCTTCAAGGCTTGTTAGCACAAATATAAACTGCCTCTTTTGAAAGAGGATGTGTGAGATAGGGCAGAAATTTTACCTTACAACAGGCCACCAATAATTACAGACATCTTAAGGAGATATTACAAGGATTCTTTAACGTGCAGTGCGTGGCATTTGCCTGCATGAGGCATTGGATTTTACGTTTCCATTCCGATAGGACGTGTCTCGTATCTATACATCCAGCACAACATATAAATTCAAAGCGAGGTTTAAATGATATTTGAGGAAGGTGAAGAGTAGGCCACGTTAAAGTGTGACCTTGCCGAACTATAGCTTTGGTAACTTTTGACCTAAAATAATCTTCAAATATAGAACTGTTCAAACGTTAGTACGTACACAATAGGACGCTCTATGAAATTGTACCACATGGTTCTATACCTCAAAAGGAATTTAAGGTTGGGATTGATTTTGAGGGTAATGGCCCAAACCGTTGAAAAAGAGAGGTGAAAGATACCAGAGTGACATTCAAACTCATAAACTGACAACGCCATGGCTAAAAAAGAAAAAGACCAACAGACAAACAATAGTACACAAAACACAACATCGGAATAAAGGAATTAAGGGGCAAAAAACAAGGATTTTCTGGTATCAAGACAATAACTTAAGGGAGCTACCATTTGATTTTTATGGGGGGGGGGGGGGGGGGGGGGGGGGGGCTAGGATGAAATTTGAAAAAAATAGGCTGGACAGGAGTTTTGAGTAAAAAAAAAGGCAGTATGAGATTATTTGCAAAAAAAAAGGCAGGATGACAATTTAGTTTAATAAAAAAGTCAGGACAAACTAAAAAAAAGGCAGGACCGAATAGAGGGAAAAATAAAAAGGCAGGACAAAATTTTCGATCCTAGCCCCCCATAAAAATCAAATGGTAGCTCCCCAAGTATAAGTCTATGAAATTATACCACTAGGTTCCATACCAAAACTGAAAAGTTGGGATTAATTTTGGGGATTATGGCCCTGACCGTTTATGAATAAGGACCAAAAATAATACTTTTCTAATACTTTGTATAAATTGCTTAATTACTGTCAATTCAGAAATAATTGCGAACTTTTTATTAAAAAAATAATCCAACTGATTGAGTATCACAATAATAAGAACTTGTATTCTTATATCTGATACAAAGATATGTATGCAGATTTTCATGAAATAACAATAATTAATCTTGCATGTTTGTCCATTTTAAAAAAATTGCAATAATTTCTGAATTTACAGTATTTCTTGACCAATTTGAATGGGGACCCCGGGTTTAATTCCAAGTCTTGAATTCTTGGGGTCTTTATAATGCTGAATCTAACCATGTCTTTAGATTTTGTATTTTGGGCTCACTATCAAATTGGTTCACATTGAGGTCCAAGGGGTCCAAAATTAAGCTTTGTTTGATTTCATCAATAATTGAATTCTTTGATATGCTGAATCTAACCATGCATTTATATTTTGGATATTGGACCATAATAAGTAAATGTCCAATTTCAAATTTTTAAGTTCTTAGACCACATTCATTCTAATTTTTTTGTCAGAAACCTATGTATGCTATGTCAAATATTTCATCACAATCAAAATTCTGAGCTGTATCATACTAGTGCCCTAAGTGTTCAGGTCGTATCAAGCTGCGCCCTGTGGAACATATTATTTTTAAACAAACCTATCCATATCAAACACCATCATCTTCAACAGACACACTGTGTTTCACTGTGCCAACATGCAAAACTTTTATTGCGTACCAAAGGATACTTTACCGCAGATTCACTCGAAAGTTACCTGTCGATTTAAACTTTTGTAAGTTCTTTTGTCCCATCTAATAAAAACAATAGCTATTGTTCTCTGTGCAGTTTATTCACTGGGACCTTTAAATTTCTTCTAAGAGAAATCTATCACTCATTGATTAATTTACCCGAGTTAAAAAGTGATCTTCTAAATTGATGAAAATACATGTATTATTACTCACAGAACTGCATGTGATGTTGTATTATTCTTCAATATAAATAATATATTTTCAATCTGTTTAATATAACACTGATTTAATCATATGACAAAATTTTTATCATTGTTCCTATTGAAATTTGCAATTTTTGTGTGTTTGTTATACGCCCGTCAAAATTTTGACGGGACATATTATGGTATACAAATGTCCGGCGTCCACATGTCCCACCTCAACTTGAGAACAACTTATCCAAATTTCATGAAACTTAATATAGTTGTTTCTTATGATGGTCAAACGATCTGTATACTTTTTGATGAAAATAAGATTAAAATTTTTTGAGATACGGAACTTTGTGTAACTAAAACAGGGGTATGTATTTTTCACATGTCGCGCCGTATCTCAAAAACGATTTACGATTATTGCTTAAAACTTTACACACTTCTTAATTATATTAATCTAAAGATCTGTATACACTTTTTGGTGATGATTCAAAATTTTATTTTAGAGTTATTGATTTTTTTATTAAAAAAAAACGGAGTTTTCACATGTCGCGCCGTATCTCAGAAACTATTTATGATTATTGCATAAAACCTCACACACAAGACGACGAGCATATCATGCGCTCGTGGCGCAGCTGTTTATTTAGTTATAGAATACATTTAAGAAGGCCTTGATCTAAACATCGTCATTTTCTAGTTCTTATTTGTCAAACACACAAAAAGACAAATTTTAATAGGAACAATGTTGAAAATTTTGTCATAAATCAACTTTTAAATTTTGAATAAGTATTAATTATATTGAACAAATTGAAAATGTATTATTGATATTGAATAAATACAACATCACATGCGTTTTTGTGAGTCCTTATTTAGTATTGGTACATGTATTTTCACCATTGAAAGTTTGATTTTTTGTTCAGGTAAATTAATCAATGAGTGATAGATTTCTCTTAGAAGAAATTTAAAGGTCCCAGTGAAATAACTCCACAGAGAACAATAGCTATTATATTTATTAGATGGGACAAAAGAACTTACAAAAGTTTAAATCGACAGGTAACTTTCAAGTGAATCTGTGGAAAGTATCATTTGGTTCACAATAATGACGTCTGTAAACTGATGAAAGTCTAATGGATGCTTTGTAAAACAGTACACTGGTACTTCTCAAATAACAACTATTATACAATTTGGTTTATTATAAAGCAAAATACAATGTATAATAATATCATGCATATATAAATAATGAAAACATATTTATACTGTAAATTCAAAAAAAATTTGCAAGCATTTATTTAAATTAATTATTGTCATTAAGGACATGTTGCAAATAAATAATGCTATCAAAATTTAAAATATAATTTTATTTTTGCAAAATCTATCTCGGTGTAGCAATTTTCAGTAAAAAAAATATATCAAAAATCTGTGAATTTTCAATAATTGGAAAATAAATAACAGCATTAAAAAACAAAAATTTGTGAGTTTACAGTAAATGGAAAATAAATAATAGCATTAAAAAATTAATCATTTGGCTTTCAGAATTATCACTTAAGGATTTTAATAAACAAAAATGCAACATATATGTGGTTTGCATGATTATTATTGTCCACAGGATTGAACACACAAGGCAGCAGCAGGAACACACCTGTAAAAGGAATAAAATAATATTTCATTTGTTGACAATTCAAAGTTATTAAGTAGTGTTAAAATATATGAATTACGTAATGTTTAAATATTTGAGTGGCAATTTTTCTTTTAAATAGACAGATATTGTTGTATGTAAAAATACTTGTTTTCTATTCAAATTTATTGATTAACCAAAAAATATTGCAATAGAAATCATGCAGCTAAATTTGTTATAAAATGGAAAGCAATCTTAATATACCAATTTTGATTTTCAAGGTGTTAAAATTACTATTACCAGTATCGCATTAATCATTCATTGAGTTTCAGACAATTGCAGAAGTTCTTAAGCTGAAAATTTGAAAAATGTACATACATGGTAAAATAATTCAGGCTATTTTGATAAACTTTCATTGTTTAGTTCAAGTTTTATGACATTTACTTTGTTTCTCCATATATTGACTGAAGAAATGAATTCTTTGGAAATTTGTATTGAAAGAAATACAAAACTGAATAAGAAGCAAAGTTTAATATAATTAAGACATCTTATCTTTGTAACAGCACTTGCAAATGAATGTGAGGGTATCTCCCCTTTACAAGTAAACAAAATTCTTTATTATCATAAAAACAATGATTCTCTTTATGATTCAGTACATGGTCATTTGGCAAAAGTTTAAAGATGGAATAAGTGAAAGTAGTTAAAAAGGACTATAAACCTTCTCAACTATAAAAATATCTGTTTACATCTATTAAGGTAACAGTAGAAAATATCAAGAGATATAAATTGCAAACAATAAAGATTTATAGAAAGTTAAACTGTCCACAAGATTTCATCAATTGATTAAATTTGTATGTGGATGAATAAATATATTCTCATCTTGAAACAGATCCAAATGCTACCCCAGCCAGTATCCCTATGGACAAGCTGTGATGCTAACCTGTAATACAAAGTTGAATCAGTTATTTAAACTCCTCAAAATAATCTACTGTGGATTCAGATATTTTAATGGGCATTGAGGGAAAATCGAATTTCTGTGGATTCATTTAATATTCAACAATCATGGGGATTGAGGAAAAATTGGATTCTGTGGATATTTGATTGAAAGTCGATTGATAGAAAATTGGTACTTCGTTGTTGAACATTTAAAATTTGTGGTTCACTATTACTCACGAAATCTAGTGGGTATTCAGTTTAAAACTTGACAAATAGAAAAAAAAGTCAAAAACAATTTCTCTTTTCTAAGCTTGGCAGTATTTTTACCATTTTGGACAATCATATACCCTCTTTCCTCTGGAGCTGAATATCTCCATGTAATTCAATCTTTTCTGATACCTGAACCATTATTAAATTGATATCAAACACTAATAGATTAAAAAAAGTTTGTATACCTACCAACATGTTAGCAGTATCAGATCTCCAATTCTTACTCCCAACACCATGAAATCATTGTTATTACATCAGCCTATAAACAAATAATAAAATAAATGGAGAATGTGTCTATGGGCCACAGATGCCCCCGCTTGTAAATATGCATGAGTCAATTTCCACATAGATCGTTTTGTGATCATAAGCATTGTGTATAAGTTCATAACATTTGGTTGAGGCAAACTAAAGTTAGAGAATGGAAACCAATTTTTGAGATGGACGGGACAGACAGACGGACAAGGGTTACACTTAATGCCCCCTCCAATACGGCAAAGGCATAAAAATATACTTGTTTGATTTATTCCTTTTACATATCAATCCTAGCACGAAAGATTTCTTTAACAAAACAGTATATTAATAACATATACTTGTTTAAGAAAACTATCGGTGCTTCAATTGATCTGTTATATTTTCACAGCAATATGGCATTATAGCCGTGAGAATATAACATTGTAAACCAATGATCTTATGTTGTGCTGAACACCACTGTCCCAGGTTAGGGCAGGGTTGAGCGCTCACAAACATGTTTAACATTGCCACATTCTTTATGCGCCTGTCCCCAGTCAGGAGCCTGTAGTTCAGTGGTTGTATTTGGTTCATGTATGTCATAATTCTATTGAATTGTTTCCCATTTTTTCATGTCTGGGCCTTTTACAGGACTATACGGTATGGGTTTTTCTCATTGTTGAAGCTATTTGGTTGTCTATAATTTATGTCATCCACTTCATTTAAACTTTGGTGGATAGTTGTCTCATTGGCAATCATACGACATCTCCTTATATTTATAAAGGTTTATTGTAACCTATAACGATACTGATTACATATTTTTTCAATCCTCAGGGCACATTATTTTCCCTATATTTTTTTTATAGTATAATGAACATATCTTTTGATTCAAAAACAGAATTATAAACCTACTTATATCTAAGCTGTAGTAGACTAGGCCACCAAGCCTTACTCCAAATACCATGAAACATGTCCCAGACATAACCTAAAAGGAACTAGATATCATTGAGATGGGAGCCATATCTGTGGGCCCTGCTGTGAATAATGTGTGGTAAAAAATTTGTATCTTTATCATTGGATATGGGGTTGTCAACTGAAACCAAAGTTTTTGACTTTGACCTTTGACCTAGGAAGTTGTACATAAATTATGACACACGTGACACCATCTGGTGTTGGTTTATATAAATGTCAAGTATAAATTTTGAAATCATAACGGTTCTCAAGATATAGAGTGGACACGATCTTTACCATAGGACATGGGGTTGTAAACTAAAACCAAAGTTTTTTACCTTTACCTTGACCTTTGACCTAGGAAGTTGTACATTCATTATGACACACCCTCTGGTGTTGGTTAATATACATGTCAAGTATAAACTTTGAAATCATAACGGTTCTCTAGATATAGAGCTAACACAATTTGTTACGGATGGACTGACGAACAGAAGGACGGACAGACTGATCACTATAGGGCATCTGCCATTTGGCGGGGCCCTAATTAAAATTGACACAAATTATATATTTTTCCAATTTAACTAAACTATCATCCTTAAACTTTATAAAAGTTTTTTCGTTTCTTACTACCCAATAATATAGCATCAGTCCTGTCTGTGTAGGAATTTAAGAGCTGGAAAAAGGTTTGATTTCCAACTGCACAAAAATTATCCAAGTAATCTCCCATTGAATGAAACATTATTGTTTTGTTTGTTGTACTTGTCTCCCCGTAAAGATAAAATGGCCGGAGAACACAGTTATTTCGTAGTGCATTTCTTTTGGACAATAAATGATTACTAAAAAAATCCCACCTGTGCTTTCTCAATAATATTTTTAGTGTGGTGTACTACTTTTGGGACAAATTATATCAAAATTATAGAAAACTTCATCAGCTCTAACTCAATATATGTACAATTTTATGTTAAGGGGTCTTGAATTCTTTTGACAGCTTCCGAAATACTAATTTTTAAGCTTTTTTAGCTGGACCAAATCACTTAAAATTCATGACCCAAATTTTTTTAGTGTAATTTCATCCCCCTACTTGCTATTTGAGGCATAAAACATGGAAGAAATAAATTTGGAAAGGGTATTAAAAAAAATTGCAAGTAACACTCTGTCCACACTAAGACTGTATTTGTAGACAACGAAAATCAAAGGACGATAACTGTTCCTGGACAAAATAATTTGATATTATAATTGTTTTCATATACCTCGCAACTTATTATAAAATATATGAAAATGGTAAATGAACTCGCTATTGGTGTTATGAATGAGAAAGATAAAAATAATCATATTGTTTGTTGTCTTGTGTACTTTTATGTACTGATGTTCATTTCTATAGAATCTATAAAAATTGTATGGCTTAAATAAACTTGCCTGATTTCATTCATGGTACAGCCTCCGACTTGGTTCAAGATCTATTTAATCATCTTCCTTGGAACTGCAATTGATTCCTTACTGCTGTTAAGTGTTTTTCAACATTGGTTTTTATGCTATAAAAATCCACTGTCCACTTGAATAACTGAAATGTCTGCTTCATTCACAATATATAAAATAAAAATATACAGTTTGTCACAAAATTTTCTATTTTTTTTCTAACAATAATTTTTTTTCCCCCGATCATGATGATTTACTGGATTATTATAACATAATGTATTAAGTACCAGAAGTGTGTTAAAACATATCCAATATTTTGAAAATTTCCAAAAAGTTGGTTGTAACCCACAATTTCTTCCACCCTTTAAAACTATTATCTAGAACTCTCCTTACAGTAATGTTTATTTACAAAGCTCTATATTATAGCAATAGACTAGTTAGCAGACATCTGATATATAAATACTTATACACATATAATAGACATAATTAAAAAAATTGCCTACACTAAAGGAACTTCCAGTACGAGGAGTAAAACAGGGGTATTACCTCCCTTTGCCCTTAATTTCAGCCTGTTTGGACTCCACTTCCATCACAACTGAAAAACACAATATTTGTAGTGAAAGGCTTCTGTATGATACATTTAGTCAGTAACATGTCGGTGATAGTATGAAATAAAAAATTAAAAATCAATTAACTTTGTAGACAGTCTTTCTATATGTTTCTTTAATTTTCAAGACTAGACAAAAAAATGCAGAGCAAAATCGAATTGTTTAAAATAAATCATCGACCATTTCTTAAATTTGGAAGCATAGTTAAATACAGTACCTCTTCCTTTCAGTCGTACTAACATTGATTTAAACCTTTAACTTGGCAATTGGAGAAAATGTTGAAAACAAAACAAATTTCAAGCCTCACTTTTTAAATAAAAAATTAACTGTTTAAAGTGGAGAAATGTCTTCTCACATTCGATTCAAAGGTAGAATCTACATTTCTACAAATTTTGAATTTTAAACCTGGGGGATTTTTTAAGAACAGTTATGCAACATTTTCAACATTCACAATGTTAAATGGTTTAAGGAACTATTTACAATGAGAATCATACACACAAGTTTAATTTTAAGATAACACCCATATGACTGTTTCATCTAATGAATGTAGACAAAATATAGATGACAGCCTAGTATCGAAGGTCCAAGGTTGAAAATTATCCCAAGGTTTGATATATTTCATGTGTGAATTATAAAGATTACTGGAAGATGATAGTTTCAGGTGACTGAATGAAAGTATTGGAAATTATAGATAATAATCTTTTTTTTTTGTTCGGTCAAAACAATATAAAATATGTGAAGTACCCAGATCATTCACATTAGACTTACTAAATATTATTTCTACTGCAGGTCTTCCTTCGTTGCCGTCTTGGCTTTTCAGAACCAGACAAAAATCAGATGTACGTATATACTTTTTGGATTTTTTTCAACTTGTGCTTAAATTCAATTCAATATACCGTACAATATTAACTTTTATTTGGAGTGCTTAAATTTAATTTAATATTCAGAATGCATTTTTTCGATTTTTTTCGATTTCAGATGCATCATATCGTGTCAAATACAATTAGATTTTGATTTAAAATGTGTTTTAACTTCATTTTGAAAATTATAAACAAAATTGAAAGCTTCATGCACTAATATTGGTCTTTTCGATCTCAATAACTATCAAATATCAAATGTATATCATTTCACAATTACATTAAAAGATCCCTTTGAATAACACACATCATATTCTGAATACATTGAAACCACTGAAACATCCATAGAACAAAAGCAAGATACAGACAATAAAACCTGACCAATCAAAACTAGCTCTAAAAACAACTATGTTAAATGTTAGTAAAGACGCAGCACTTGAAGCGCAATGTATTTCTGAAATGATCATTTGATATTTGTTTATATATATAGCAAACTTTTTTCAGATAAGATAAATATTCTGTAACAAAATTATACTTTTAACCATTATTTTAAATCAATTTTAATTCATGGTTTGTGTTTTTCTACAATCTGACAATCATGATGCATTTAGAATAATGTAAATTTGAAATTTGAAATAAAAATATTGCATGTCCTTTTACTGCAAACCTATTTTCACTTACATATACACTGTTATCACAGAGATATGTCTCGCTTTTTTGTAATTTCGATAATGCAAATGTTGAAATTAAAATAGCAACACTTTAACATGTAAGTTTTGCAAATATTCAAAGTCAATAAACCATGACTGAAGGTAAATGGCTAAACATCTCCTTGGAAATGAGATGTGCCAATGCAAATACAACTGCATACCAAATACCATTGACTTATCATAAGTAGTTCTCTTTAAACAAACCTAAACACAAACTAATACATGTAAACTAAGCAAAATTTCAAAGTCAATTAACCATAACTGAGGGGGTAGGGTCAAATAATCTCCATGGTAATGAGATGTGCCAATGCTAATACAACTGCATACCAAATATCATTGACCTACCATTCGTGGTTCCCAATAAACCAACTTAATCACAAACTAATACATGAATACTAAGCAAAAGTTTCAAAGTCAATAGACCATGACTGAGGGGGTGGGGCCAAATAATCTCTAGGGAAATGAGACATGCCAATGCTTATACAACTGCA